CTCTTTTGCTTTTTTTCCTCCCAATTTGGTGACTATCGAAGCAGGTACGCTGCGCAATTAGGACATATGAGAAAGATGTATTTGAGGATATTAAACTGGGGAAGATGGTTGACTTTTACAACGTAGACTGCCCTTGCATTTAAGGCTTAATATTCACTGGAAACTTCAAGTTACTATGGTGGTGTCACACAGCTTAAAAGTGCAAATAAAAAATAAACATTGATGAAGTAATGTTTTTAGTTCAGACGTCTTTATGTGTGGCTGCGTGAAGTGCTAGGAAAAAGTGACAAAGAAAACTTGCCATTTGGCTTGGCTTGGAAAGAAACTTGTTAATCTCCTAGTACAAGTGAGGCATTTGAAGGACAGCTTTATACCTTCTACTCAGAGCTTCAAGGGATGGTTCACCTGTCACTTCCAGTTGTGCCTTTGTTTGCTGCCTATAGCAGTGGCAAACAGTAGAGCAGAGTTGCACTAATCTCGTGCTATGCCAACTAAAGTAATCAGCAGCTACTCTGACTTGTTTGTACCTATGAAGCAATGCAGAGAACTAATGGTTCCAAAATCAAATGTCTTCTTTAAAAAGGCAGTGTCTTAAAATTCCCAGCACTCCATCATTGCTAAACGTTTTCTGCTAGTATGCTGTACTTTAAGAACTTTATATTAGATATCAGTATTTGCTACCCAAATATGTGGTGGCATTCTTTAAAATTTGTGTTAAAGCCATAGAGGAGAAACTGTAATTATTTTTTAAATTACTGCATAGTTTATTTTTAGGACAAAATTTTCTCACGGAGAATTCAGCGTTTCAAAATGGCAGTAGGTTGTAATAGAACAGGAAAATAAACAGATTTTTTGTTACTTTGGAGAAGTGATGCTCCACCTGATGGTTACACAAAGCATTTTCAGAAGGGAGTCTGTATGTTATTTTTTTCACTGTGAGCTGAAGTTTGGTTTGAAGAATAGGTTTGGAGAAAAATGGTTTATGCATTCTTAGCACGACTGTGCTTTTTTTTATTTTTTTTATTTTTTAATGTGTTTTTTCTCTGTGGGAAAAGTTTGGGTGTGTTTTGTTGGTTTTTTTTTTTTGTTAAATCATACCTCAAGGATTTTGGATGAGTCAGGCATTATTGTTGACCTTCCCAGAATTTAATTCAGTACGTTTAAGTAACTTAATCTGTCTCTGTCTCCCAGTGTGGTTCCTAACCTGAAGAATTTGAACAATAGAAATTCACTATGTCATCAAATTCTTGCCATCCATTCTTGTGGTGAGATGTTATAATGTGGTGGTAAGTGCTGTAGAAATGCATTTTGTATGTGTCTGTATATATAACATTTCGTCATCTGGCATAATACTATTTAGTGCTAATGTCTTTCTAGCATTACCACTGCATTGTTGTCACAAAGCTGTCTGGAAATATAGACTTCATGGGCTTTATGGCACATTTGCAAATGGGATGGTAAACACTCTGTGGAGCAGTGGATCCATCCTAACAGTGAAAGGTTACCTGCTGAGACATGAACTGCTGAAGGCTTCATCACAATCCTTCTTGAAGTCGTCCTAAATTCCAACACAAATTAGTGTTTTTTTAATTCGTTTCAATACATATTCCAGTGCTTTCTGGCAGTCCTCCTCTGTTTTCTCATCATAGTTTTCGGGGTGATAAATATCTTCAGAAATGCCAGCAAATGATGTGAAATATTTATTTTTGCTAAATGAAACTCTTGATTTGCTCTGTTTCCTTTTACAGTGAGATCTGTAGCCTTGCTGTCTAGGTCTTTTAGTATATTTATAGCCTTTTAGATTCATATGCCATTTGGGGGTCTTTTGATATTCTTTTGCCTATACAAGTGTAAATAATTGTCCATTGTGTGTAAGTAATTGCACACGCAAATAGGTACCCATCCAATGTTGTGTATTTATAATCAAATTCACAATTCAAATTGGCAACAATTTTATTTTAGATATCAAATAATTATTGTATGCTATTATTAATACATGTATTATATTAAAATTTCACAGGGAACTTAATTCATGTATGCATATCAGTATGTGTTTGCAGGAAACAAATTACGCTTTTAAAACTTTGCGGTAGCTTTTAACTCAGGAATTGCTGTATTTCTGCATTACAGCTGAGCATTTTCAACAGAAGTAGAACTATCTTATACTTCAAAATGTAGGTCATTGTATTGGTAAATGTAGGTCAGAGTGAAGGGGAAGAAGGCAGCATGCAAACTCCTCCACATTCATCTTTAAGCTTATCCTTGTTTTGAAGGCAAAGAGGCTTACCTACCTGTTCAAGCACGAGAAGCTTTTCCTTTTACTAAAATTAACACAGGTATTCTTGCTGTTGGCATCTTGGCTTAGCTGGATACGCTGCGTGCTTCCACACTTGAGACCTGTGCTTGTGGTAGAACTTCTGACTGCCTCTTCTTTAGCTGCCAGCTGAGGTGATGCCTTCTTTCCTATGGCGTGGGGAAGAGCCGTGTATGTTAGCAGCCCTAAGAAGAGCACTGTCTTTCCAAAGGTGCTTTTCCCTTCTCTCAGCACAGAGCTATCTGATATTCCTGCAGTTTCAGCCAGTATCAACATTGTAATGGTAGCAGGGGAAAGAACAGTGACCCCTCATAAAAGATTCAGTGACACCATTTAAAGTGCCCTTTCAATAATAACCATAGAAAAGTGAGAAACATTTGACTGAGTGCACTGAAAACTCTGATGTTGAAGTATTTTGCTGCATTTGACAAGTATTTTGATAAATCCACTCAGGCTAAAAGTTTACTACGAAAGAGTTTATTTTTCTTATTTTATATTGTGTGTGTGTGCGTAATGTGAGATATGTAGCATTATAAATGTTATTAAATTAGCCATGTCTTCACTAAATATTTTAAAAAACACCACTTTTATTACACGAATCATTGCAAGCTGTAACATTCTTTATGTTGTATACTAAAATATTTAAACAGTTATTATATTTATTGCAAAATCTGTCATTTTAGTGTATTGCAATGCTCAAAAGCATTAAATTGCTCAAAAGAGAGATGGAAAATCCTGTACAATTCTTAGTGTATGTTTCACTGAAGAATGGGTAATCGTGTGTGAATGTTTTATTTTAACCCTTAGCAATCCAAACAAAATAGCACATTGTTTAATATCTGATCAGCCTAACCAGTAAGAAGCAGGACACATAACATTGCTTCAGTGTTTTGTCTTACATACAAATTGTCAGTCTGGTTTATTTTGTTGGCTTTGTGTGTTGTTTTTTTTTGTAACCTGTAAGATCTTTGTCATACAAAAGTCACACGCAAAGTTTTGGCCAAATTCTGCCTAAGCTTTTGCTTGACTTGCATGCAGACAACACATTCATACATTTTAATCATTTTTCACTGTGAGTAAGGGTAGGTCAGAATATTTATTGGGTGGACAGGAAGAATTATGTATTTGAGGGTTACCATCAAGCGGTAAGTGAAGGAAGACAATTTTTCTCCCAAACTTCTGCTTCCGTTAAATATGCTGTGATGTTTTAAAGTCCTTGGAGAAGAAACAATTACAAAAAATAGTCTAAAGAGAGAAAGCTACATGGAATTCAATTTGCCTGCCTGGAAACATCTAAAGGATGCTCGCAAATGTCTGTTTTTAAGTTTACTGGAACCACTGAAGTGTCTACAGTTTATAATACTAAGTCAGGCTTCTGTCATAGTAATTTGTAATGCTATGTGTGGTGGGGGGAGGCTAACCCTAGTTTTGACCTGTGGATAGACGTGAAGCATGTTTTCTCATTGCTAAGCAACGACAGATGGAAAACACGTACAACTATAATTTGGCTGCCTATGCCTTTGATTCATTCTCCCTTAAATCCAGGAGCCTATCTCAAGTGCCTGAATGTGAGCCTCTTTTCCCTAGGCTCCTCCAGCAATACAGACAGATGCCTGCAGGAGAGCGTTGGGCCTGCAGGATTGCATTCCCCACTCCATGGGCTGCTGTGCTTGAGTTAGATTATTCCTGTTAGGTGGGAAACTGGCCCAAAGTAACTGGGAGTTTCTTGAATGACTGTTGTTGAGGGGGTAAATTTGCTTGGGTGCCTCTCAGTATGTGACAGGGTTGGAAGCGACCTCTGCAAGTTCTGTGCTGGATGCTTACAAAGTCACAAACAGGATGAAGGCAGGTGAAAAAATCAGGATTGCTCCTGGCTGCTCCCCTATGGAAACTGGAGGGTCTCAAATGGAAAATGCAACACAAGAGAGAGGAGATGTTTATTTATACAGCGCAGTAAAACTGCGGTGCTTTCTGCCATGGGCCATTGTAGCCAAAGAAGATTTGCATAAATCCAAAGGACAACCAGAAAAATCTTTTGGGGGCTACGAAACATAACTTAGGAGTTGTGCCTCAACAGTCTGCCAAGGAGGAGAGGAGAGATGACAAAGAATTGTGCTGTGTTCTTGTATTAATCACATGATCATCCTTAGCATGTTGCTTAGGGTCAGACTGAAACTAACAATAGCTAAGAGCCCTCCCCAAGAAATGAAGCAAAATGAAAAGCAAAATGATGTGACTAGAGAGGATAACTAACAAAGGAGGCTCCTATCCTCTGTTAGAGACAGGCTACAAGGCAAGATGGACCTGGAATCTGGACTGATAATAGCAGTTTGATATTCATGTGAATGACTAAGTGTCAGAATTCTTTTTTTCAGAATTAAAGCGTACAATAACTTTTAAAGTCTTGAGTGCAATACATATTTGTATGCTTGTGTATTTGTGTGTGGGAGTATATCTATATAAAGTAAATTTCTCTTTCTCTTAGGATGAAGTCTATGAAATCTTCAGCTCAGGTGCTTAGAATCAGAAATGTGCCATTAAAAATTACATTTGTTTTATTCCATGGTACTGTGGCAAGTTTGAAAAATGAAACAATTGGTAAAGATCTGCAAATGATGGTACATGTCAAATTACTTTAGACAAAGAAAGATCTATTCTAAGAATGTGAATGTCTTTTGTTTTATAGGTCTTTGGCCATCCGAAGAAGTACTGGCTTACTACTGCCTAAAGCACAGGGAAATATTCAGGTACAGATTTGAACATAAAAAGATATTTTCCGATCTGTTAGCTTTATTGTATCTGCATGGTAAAGATTGCTATGATTTAAGTCCTCAGATTAAATTTAAAATGTTCAAGGTGAAAGCATGTTGCTCTTAACAAAGAATTCTGAGCTGCCTTTGGGTACTAATATTGCACAGCAAGCTTTCTGCTATATGTCAAAGACTTTTGATTTCCACTCAAGGCATTTTATTTCACTTTGATTTTTGGGAAACAAAAGTGAAGCTCCAATCGATCAGTACTGATTGTGAAGGTCAGGAAAAATAAAAGACATTCTTTAAATCAACATCTGTTGCAAAAGAAAGCAAAAAATAACCTGATAAAGTACATAAGAATTCCTGCATATAGCGATGGAAGAATTTGCACCTCTCTTTAAGTTTTATGAGATATTTTTGAGACATCCTGCGGTTCTGAATGTTCAATTTTATTTTTCCTATCTTCTGAACTTGTAGAAGACAAGCACCCAGTAGGAATGCTGAAAGATAAATCTGTCCTGCATCCACCTCCTCCGCCTTGAGTATACAGAGCTTTGCACTTAGAAATTCTTGTAGTTTCATTGTCTAGGAGCATGAATGAAGTGTAACAACACTGCATTTGTAGGCCTAAGTTGTGTTCTGATGAACACTATGAAGCTAATACCAAGCAAACCAGCTTGGTGTGTGCAAAATCCTACTCTCTGTGTACACTTGGTGTTGGGAAATTAGAGAACACCAAGCTGTCTAGTCTATGAGTCCTTGCTCTTTACATCAAACCTGAGCTAATTCCTTCAGTTTGCTGACTCCACTCTGAACTCAATGATCATAGAATTATAGAATCATTTCAGTTAGAAGGGACCCTTTAAAGGCCATCTAGTCCAACTCCACTGCAGTGAACAGGGACACTTACAGTTAAATGAGGTTGCTTAGAGTCCCTGGCAGCCTGACCTTGAATGTCTCCAAGGTTGAGGCATCCACCACCTCTCTGGGCAGTCTCTCTCAGTGCTTCACCACACTGATTGTAAAGAACTTTTTCATTATATCCGGTCTAAATCTTCCTTCTTTTGAAACCATTTTCCCTTGCCCTATCACTAGGGACAAGATCTGGCTCTAAATGTTGCCCTGGTTTATACAGCCTCATTTTTGCTCCAGCAGCCACCTGAATGAAACCCACCCCACCAGAGGAGGTAGCTAAGAAACATATTTGCTTCACTTCTGCTGCTGTTGTACTATCCTTCTAGAACTTTGCCATCCCAGCACACATAGCAGCTTGTACACTCTGTTTTCGGAGACTGCTGGCAGTAAAATTCACAGTGCCAGTCACTGAAGTGTGTTTTCCTGCCTTGGGTAACCGAACTTGCAGTGAGCATAGAGGAAATCACAGATTCAATTCCTGAGTTCTTGGGGGTTCTGCCCTATGAAGAGCACAACCAGAGCAGAGTTTCTTGTTTTAATTCTCATTTATAAATGTCTGTAAAGATTGCTAATGTGGGAACTTTGCACTAGAGTGGTTTATATGTGTGAATGTGTGTGTCTGTATTATGTACATGCAAATTTGGTTCAGAATGCACCGAAAGTCCCACACTGGATGCTTTCTTTGTTTGTTTTGATAAATGAAGTAAGTGCCTCGTAAATACTGTAACATACAAGCTTAGATGTATATACATGTAGATATAACATATGGCTTGGAAAATCAAAATTTATGTGAGGAAAAACCTATAATTATTCTATCTAAACCACAAACCACAAATTTCCCACAATGTTTTTTTTAAATTCTCACTGGATTTAGGTATGGCTTGTTCCTCCAAACTGTGTCCATCTTCATTCTCATTTCCATTAAATAGGACAAACAATTTGCAAAGAGAATCTGCAGTCTCTGTGAAATAAATCCATGCTACCCAGTCAGTGTATGTTAGTGTGTTGTCATAGAATGTAGTCCAGTGGCCTCAGGGTACAAAATATCAGTGCCTGTATTCTGGTATCGAGGTGGCATCCTAGATGCTCAGCTTAGAGTGAGTGGGGAAATAGTATATAGAAATAGATTTTAAATTATGGGTGTTTTAGAGGAGAAGGAGCACCAAAAAGTCTGCCAAGCTGAAATTCCACTTTCTGCCAGTCAGAACTATTTCCGTGGGAACGCTTCTGGCAGCTGTAGCAGTTGCCATAGATTTAGCTGTGAAGTCGTTGTGCTCCCAAACTGAAGCCCTGCCTTGCCCTAACTGCTGTCTCACGCGGTTTCCACGCTCGCTCAGCATCCCTTCCTTCCTCCCTTCCGCCTCCCTCCTCCCTCCCGGGGCAGGCGGGGGCTGCGAAGAACATTCTTTATGGCTCCCCCTGCAAGCCCCCATCCGGCACACTCTGTGCACCAAATTATTTTTCACTCTTACATCTTAATAACTGCCTGCTATGGTCTGAGCTAAAAGCAACCTTTTAGACCATGTATTCAGCCCTATGCTTGGGCTTAGCTTGGACTCTTGACGCTAACTTTGTTTGGTTTTCTGTGGCTTAACTGTTTGCAGTTCCTTCCTTGTTCCTAACAGTATTGTTTGTAGGTCACTTGCGGTTTTAAGTGCTAATTGAAGGATCGGATTTCTTCATGGGTAATTGTTTTGTGGTATATGGCGTGTTTTAAAACTTCTCTTTTTTAATATCGAAAGGCTTTTGAGCATAACTGTGTAGAGCAATATATAAATAATATTAATTTCTCCATTTACTTCTCTAACTGTTTTTGCAAGAATGAATGTGGATTAACATTGTTATCCTTTCCTAACAATTATCTTTCGCTACTCTAGCTAGTTTAGTTCTAAAAGACAGAGCCATTGACAAGGGAAAAAAGGGAACCTTCTCAGATTTTTCAGCTCAGCGGTGGTAATGTTGCACTGAACACTAATGAGGGAACCCCCACTGGTTTGCCTGCTTTGTGACTTTTCTATTTCATAATTATTTTTAAAACGCAAAACGACATGAGGTAGCCCAGTCATGTCTCTACAACTTCCTGGTAGCTCCGTTCTTACTGCAGATGGCAATTTGTTCTTGTAACATATATGTCTCTCTGACCATTTTCATCTAATTTGTATGGGTTCTACCATTTCCTTTCTCTCTTTCAGGGACCTTGCTGTGTGTGAGCTAGGGGGTGGCATGACATGCTTGGCTGGGCTCATGGTAGGTCTTTTCTCAATTCCAATCCCATTCAGAGGAAGAAACAAAAGGAAAAATGTTCCAGTGCCTCCAACTGCTGGGTCAGAGAACTGTCAACAGCCTCAGCTGCGGTCAAGCTGCAGAGTCTTGAGAGACCTTCTAGATTGACTTGCTTTCGTATCATATTGATTTTATGGTTGCCTCGATGAGCAGAAACATTTTACCTCCGTGTAGTCAATATCTCTTGTTGTGACATTCCAGGCCACGTATGGTCTGTCTTTCATTGCCATAGCTGAAGCTTTTTTTTTTTTCTTTTTCTTTTTTTTTTTTTCAGATTGTAGTCCCATTTGCTAAGATACAGGAATAGCCTGGCGAATCACAGTTGGAGCACCATGATATAGCTGCTAATGTTTTGCCTGCATTATTACACCAACAAACATGATCCAGAGCTCTCAGTAATTAGATTCTTTTGAATTAGATTGGCCATTCAGGAGAGTCGTTCACCATTCTCTGGGTTCTGAGTCATGTATTCAGGAGATATTATGTAGCAGTGCAGTGCATTAGACAAGTTTTTATGTCTCTACAAATAAAAGCATATTGTTACACTGATTGGCATTTGACAAACCTGTCGCTCTTATACAATGTGTCGAGGTTACAGCCCAATGTGCGAGCATGTCAAAGCTCACAAAAAAATTACCCTTACAAAGCCATCTGCCTGCAATGCAAAGTTATATGAAGGGCATCAGGCAGTCAGACAGAAGCAAGCTGAAAGGCAGAGTGACAGCCTTGTATGATGGCTCTACTAGATAAACAGAAGCCCGCAAATGAAAGCCTCTCAGAATACCATCATCCGCTGTCACAATGCAATTACGGAACAGAATGATAGCAAGATAGAGGCTCCCGCAAATGGAATGATAAAAGTATTGACTGATTTGATTGAATGATTAAAATAATGCAGACATAAAATGAAAAAAGATTGAAGATTGTTACAGAGAAATAGGTGAGGAAGCATGATACTGAAGGCTTGTCACTCCTGTCTTCACTTCCACACAGACAAGCATATTTGCTCATTGTTTGCTGTGCTCTTTTTTTCAGGTTGCTATTTCTGCAGATGTCAAAGAAGTTCTGTTAACTGATGGAAATGAAAAGGCCATCAAAAGTATCCTTATTCAGATAGAAAACTGGTTTGCTGTGCTCGTTCGTTTTTACTGGCTGAGTAACAATCGATATAAAGACAGACAGCAAGGGGTATATTAAGAAAAAGTCCCCACATAAGTAATTAAAAAAATAGATGCAGAATATCTTGAGCAAAGCTGCAGCTTCCCCCGTTATAAATCTGATATTTTCTTCGTTAATTAGAAATCTACATGTCGGTATACTGCAAGTACAGCAGTAAATGTTTGTCTCATGGTTGAGTGCTGAAGGATTCTGTGTGTGTAAGCTGCAGTTACAGGAGGTACAGCAGTGAATCAAATCATTAGCTCTCCTTCACGTATTCATTTTGCAGGAGAAACTGGGCTTATGGGTCATGTTTCATGTTTTTGCTTTCAGTTATATTCCTTTTCTTTTTTATTTTCATATATTAGCCTCTTAAAAATGCATAGTATTTTTATATTGCCATCGTGTATTTTGAAATGCATACTTTCATTACTGGTGTAAGTTATAACTGCCTACCGATTGCCCATTTAGTGAGTCTAAACAATTATCAATTTATCACAGTGTCCCTTGATGTAAGATTACAAAACTCCTCTGTCCCACGTAGAAAGTATTATATGTCTTATAATATTATGTTAGAAAAAATTGCTATTATGCCCTTCTAATTTGAGCACATAGTTCAGAAAATTGAACTGTACTTTGGATAAGCGAGAGAATGAGTGAGCATAATTTGTGGCTACATTAAATATCAGCACAGAACAAGAACAGATATATATAGTGAATACTAATAGCCCTTAGAAATTGAGAGGAAAAAAATTGAAGATATCTATTTGCTTTTTTCCTTGGTAATCTCTCCATTTGCATGTTAAGGCAGACTAGGTTTTCAGGTTTTGGCCCCTGCATCGTAAGAATTGTTTAGATTTGAGTTTTGTATGTATTTGAAAGCCAACATGATGAAATTTTTTAATGAAAAAAATCAGTTAAACGACATTGTGGATTAGGAAAATAACAATTGCTTATGACTGGTAAATCAGATGTAACAGTGCGATGATGTTGGCTTCCACAGCCAAAAACACTCAAAGGTAACTCAGACAAGTGTAATTGTTTACACTTTCACAATTCCATGGAAATCAAGAGCCAATTATATCTTTTAATACTTGAAGGAAACCTGATAAAAGTCTCCTTTTTCTTGAAAATTCAAGTTCTCTGTTGTGTTCCAAGGATTCTTATTTTGCTAAAATATAGCTGACAATAACCATGAGCTGAGGAGAAAGTACTTGCGATTGTGTGCATTTTATACAGCATCTCCTCTGCCAGTCCTTCTGTCATTATGAAAATAAAAAATGTGAGAGAAGAAAAGTGTTCCAAAACTAGTCTAAGAAAACAAACAGACATCTTCTGAAAGCAGTTATTTAACAAAAGGTCATTTTATCCACAAAAAGCTTCAGGTGAGCTCGGTAATCATCAAGTCAGCAAATAGTTTGTGTAGCAGATTCCACAAACATACCTGAACTTTTTGGAAATTTGGAAGTCATCCTTAGCAAGGAAAATGGATGTGCACTAATATATTCACTGAGTCTTTGGAATTAAAGAAGTTAAAGCATTTTATTTTCTGAAGAACATACACTAATATAATCCAATTAGCACACCTTAGTTTTTTACAACATGTTGTAGAAATATCTTTTATTTCGGGAAGTCTTGCAAAAAGTTTTTGTCTGCATTCACTCAGTGAATCCCTTTCAGAGGTGTGATTGGTAGAAGGCTGTAACAGGAATTTGTTTTTCTTTTTTTAACATTTGGTGCTCTGAAGGCTCAGCATTCAAAATGCTTTTATTGTGTTGGATTTTACAATGGGCTTAATATTAGCAGGGTGCCAAGGTTCAGCAGACTAAGAACTTTACAGTGTAGGTAGAAAGTATTCTTAAAAGCATACATAATAAAATTTATGTAGCATTTTATGTGTTTTATGGACTTCAGTAGTAATTTTGTGATCTGTTTTATGGTAATTTTCTTTTGCCTTCTTCTGTATAGTGATTAGCTAGAACAGGAGTTCAGGCTAAATTTAGATCAGTTTCAGCCACACCAGACTTAGTGAAATCTGTACGAATATTTAGTAATAGGAAATAGTGTCTGGCTTCAAGTGTCGTGGCCTACAGATAATATATTTCTGCTAATTTTTACTATGGCTGATGTCATTTTTTAATTGTTTAGCACACCAAATTAAGTTAATGTGGGATAAAATACTGTTTTCTTGTCTAGATTCTGCTCTTCAGGAGCAGTTAATGCCTAGTATTATGTTTTTTATGTAGGTATTATACATTAAAATAATCTCGTTTAAAAATTACTGTTTACATCTTCCCTTTAAATTTCTTAGGAAGCTTAAATTACATGCCAGTCATACTATAATATCCAAAAATTACTTTCCAAAAAGTAAAAGTGGTTGTCAACAAAAAAGAAAAAAATCACTGTCAGAAGCCAGGAAATCACCAAGCAAGCCTGCTAATTATTCTTAATGGGCAAGATGAGCACATTAAGAAACAAATGAATACATCAGTGAAATGTAATTGAAAATCGACCTGGCAATAGTGCATTGCTTCTGAGAATCTGCCTTTGTATTATCATCATCATCATAATTATTGTTGTTTTTGTTGTTGTTATCGCTATTCAGTGAGCGTAACTAACAGCCTTGCTTTGTGAAGTCTCAAGCTTTTGAGGATTTGATTTTTCTTTTAGTTTCTGACATTTCTCATATTGTTCTCCATTTCATACTGGCATATGAGGTATTCACATGCATGTTGTGAATACATATCTGTTAGGATACATTATTGAAATAGTACAAGCTAATACAATTGATGAATGTGTTAATTTCAAATCACTGTTGTGATTTTAACTGCTACACTTAAAAATACGTTGCTATATTTTATATTAATCAGTGGTCTTACGCATGAGGTTTATGGAATTTTTTAATGGATATTATAATTTTAGTTACTAAGCCATTGAAAAGATTTCATTCTAACTCATTCCTTTTCCCTTTCATTGGCAGATTTTAATTGTTTAGTAGATCGTTCTCACTGCCAAATCAATGAGGTAAAGATGGATGGTCTTGCTTTTTCAGCTTTGTTCAAAACTTTATTGTTGATTCTGTCTAAGTTCTTTCATGACATTTTAAATGAAGACAGTTTTTAAAAAGAAAAATATAGATATTTACATCAAATATTGAAGTTTTACATAGGCAAAGTATCAAATTCATTTCTCTTTGAAATTTTGGGTGATTTTCATCCCGTTACAAATTTTTCAATTTAGCTCATTTCTATGACAGATTTATGCAGAACGCTGAAAGCATCTCTCTGCACTTCATCGTAGCCATATCTGAAGATACCATTTTTATGAGAAATTGTCTCTTTTGTCAGAGAGGCTGTGTATCTCCTGCCTTAGCTCTGTTTCACACCATGCAGTGACTTGAACTGCTGTCTAAAAGCATCAATAATACAAAACATTGTTGCAGTACACTATAATGGCCATTAAAATATAGCGTATGGATCTTTCAACAGTCCTGGGAAATTTAGGTTAAAGAGGTCATGTTCAGCCTGAGTGCCTAAAGACATGGGCTTATAAATTATTTAAAAAAAGCTAGTGTTAACATGGCTATAACAATTATTAATAGTTTTGCCCATTTATATAATTTAAGTGAAGTATAGCTAATTTATCATTAACGTTACTTCTACCTTCACTGAAAAAACAGCATGCTCATGGAATTATCTGTGCCTTCCTATTGCTTCACAAGTATTGACCATGTATATGACCACATGGAAAAGATTTAAAAGGCATGTGCAAAGTCCAGAGATTTGTTTAAACCACTCCTCTGTCATTTCATCTTTATTTTTTGGCTTCACAAACTACCAGTTGTCTTTTCTTCCACATTGTTTGGATAGGGACTTTCCTAAAATAACTTATCTTAAACGATCAACAAATTTAGGAGGGCCCATTATAAGATTTCAGCATAACAAAGAAAAGGTCACATTAGTCATTTTTAAAATTAGTCTGACATTAGTGTTCAGTTGTCTTAAAGAGCACTTGCATCCAACTTATTTTGTACACCTAGAAATATCCTCCTCATTTACATTGTGTTTCCTGTGTTTTAACTAAGAATGAATTGTCAGTGAGGTCTTTATCAAAATTGTTCCTTTCAGGTAATTTTTGATGCTTGAGAGTGAACCGTTCAAATACATATGGATTCACACTGGATGCCAATTAATGTTCTCACAGTTCCTTGGTTACTTGCTACACCTTTTACTTGCCAGTGGCTTCTCACTATGTACAAATGATTGATTATGGAGGTTGTCTTCCTAGGCATAGGTGACTGAACACTGCTCCCTTTGATTGAAAATTCTTGCATTGGCCTGCCTGTGTGGCTATCCGAATTTGTTACCTATCTTCCAGGCTGAAAGAGGCAGAGATGTGAAGCTGAGGAACTCTTGCAGTGCTTATGGAGAACAAAAGGCGTTTGTTGCTTTATTCTCTCCTCTATGGCAGTTCCACAGCTTTCTCAAGAAAGCAAATGAACTAGAAACTCCCTTGACTACAGGTGAAGGTACTCCTGATACATGCTGGATTTCATACAGAGCCAAGAATAAATGTGCATACCTTGTGGCAGTACTGGACCTCAAAACCAAAAGCTTCCAAAGCCTCCCTACTGTGATCTAGTGGTACAGTTGAAAGCAGCACCAACTAAACAGCAAAGTGAGCATGCATGAGAAATTTCTGTAATTCTTATAGTTGTAAATAATAATTCCTTTTAAATATAAGTAAGATAGGGAAATCTTTTCCTGCATCTTCTATAGCTACAGCACTAGCAGTGCTGGAAATTGAAGTGTTAATGAAGTGTTAATTCAATAGAGGTGGGCAACAAGAGCAAGAGGCTGGGTAGATTTATGGCGGCCAAACGAGATTAGCATTATGAAATTTATGCTTCTGCACAGACTGACTATTAATGCACTTTGAAAACCAAATAGATTAAAGACATTATGAATATATTACTCATGTATAAAAGTATTTCTGATTATTTTTATTATTGCTCTAGTTTTATTTGTAATTCTTAACAAATGCAATACAGATGTAAGTGACATCGTCACAAGAAATGTAATTGCAGGAGTATTTAAGACTCAGAAAGTGTCAAGCTGGTAAGATTCTACTATAGTGTTTTATGGATTCTCACATGTAATTGTATATTTAGTGTGAATGTGAAATGTGTAAATTTGTGACCTGTTACTTACACTGACACAGGTGTATACAGCAAGAATACGTGTGTATCATGGTTTAAGTGATGCAAGACACAAGTGATGCAATTTGGAAGTATTAAAAATCAACTCAACTGTTTCCAACAGTGTGCTCTGGTGCATGAACATTGTAAAGGTCCAGAGAGTTTGGTTTCCGTCTCCAGAACCCTTCCTGATCCACCCTGTAATTGATGCTACTGAAGTTAGCTATTTAACTATTTCCCTCTTGTCCAGGTGCGGTAGGGCCTGGAATCAGAAGAGAATGTGAAGATTGTTCATTTTTTCTAATATTTAAAGAGCAAATTTTAAAGCTCTTCATATTTAAGGTAAAGAGTTGTGAAAAAGCACATGCTCAGAGATGGCTACCCAAGATGAAATAGTGCGTGTGTCTGCCTAAAAATTCACTTTTTTTTTTTCTTTAAATGAATCTTATTCCAGAGGAAAGGCTCTCAGTCTTATCAAAGTGGCTACAGTAAAGCTGAAAAGGGGCTAAAAAAAACCCAAGTTGTTAGAGCAGAGTAAGCTTATTAATGTAGAGGGCTAAGCGCATACAATTTCAATGGCTATCATTCACATCATTTATTCTATGCTTATGTAGCCATTCTATGTAGAAGAAATTATTTTAAGTGAGTTCTTAGGAAAATTCTGCCTTTGTTGGGGTATATGTGAATAGAACTTAGGTATCTAATACTTGCTTCCCAAATAGACAAAGGCCACAAGAGTCTAGGAATAGGCTCCATGTGCTGAACACTTGTGAGCAACTTCAGACTTGTGCAGTACATCTGTGCAGAAGCTTAGATTTTGTAGGTTTCCAATTACCATCTATTTTGTATAAGATTTCAGATTTCATCCCTTGTCAAGACTTCAAACCTGGTCTTTTAGATATCAATCAAAAGCACATTTTCTACCCTGTCCTCATTTACATTTATCTAATGCTTAAGGTCATTTGTGATCATTTGAGTGTATTTCAGCATATGGAATCAGTGAATAATAGATTTTGGCTTCATGCTGTGAAGAAAGATTGTGTTTTTACAAGACATGATGTTGTTTACTGGGTGTTAATAATCACTAATTAATAAACATATCCAGACTTTATAAAATATTGCACTATAAGGAGTAAAAATGTCAAGTGTTTAACTTACTGAGTGCAATGGATTTGGGGTTGTTGTTTGTGTAAAAATAATTAAATTTAAAAATCAAGTGAAGTACTGTATAAAAATACAAGGCTCTCGTAATAAGACTGAGTTTAATTTTTACTTCTGAAGACTTTTCTAGGTTCATTGTAGAATTGTAAATTCTTGTAGGTGTTCTAATAAGCAGTGGCCATCATTCAAGCTTTATTATACACATTATTAGTTGCTTTCTCATGTGAAAAATAAGGTTTTTACATTAAGTTATTTGTTAAGTGCTAATGGGTGGATCAGTCCTTCAGATTCAGTGATGATGATGACAGTAGCAAAGTCATTTGATCACACCTCTAGGCCTTGAAGAAGCATAAAATGCTGATGTAGTAGCCAAAATAGTACCATAACTCTGACTCTTCCTACTACCCCAAAACTGGAGTTTGCTAACTAAAAAACCACAATATGATATAATGTTTTATAGAGAAAAATGCAACACTGTCAAGCAGAGTGATATTAAGTGACTTCTTTTACGTTATTTAGAGCTAGCAAGCTCTAAATGGTTCAAGTGACATACTTCAACATTAATTTGATCTGAAGTAGGCATTATGTCTTCCTCACTCTTAAGTGCCATTTAAGCAGTGTCCAATGAAAACTATGGTGTTATAACATATAAAAAATAGGCCCTTCTCACTGCATCTCTTTCTCACTTTGGGATCTTACACTCTTTTCCTTGAGCCAGGAGTACAAATGATCAGTAGGAGATTCAGTTATGATATTTCAGGCATTCAAATATAGACCTGGAAAAGTTGCCAAAAAATGTATGACACAAAAAGGAGCAATCCATTATCAGTCAAGTGAAGTTAGCTTAGGACAACCTGCCATACATTTATTTATTTAGATTTATACAAAATGCAATAAATCAGCACTTATCTAGCTCTCTGCCAACTCTTGATTGTTGTTTAAAAGTACAGCAATGTAAGCCAAACTGGCAGTTTGACATATCATGTGTTGTAATAATAGATATTTATTCAACAGTATGCTTCAGCAATGGTTATGGAATTCTATGTTTATTTTTAGCTTCTAGTAGTATAGTCAGAATTCCTTGCTAATGCTTACTGGGAATAGGTACATAAATAAATGCCACCAAATTACTACAGATGACTTGCCATAAGGGAGTGAATTATTAATATTGTGTATAGCTTTGATGATTTTCATTGTTCTCACAGCTGAGAAATTATCTTTGAACCACTTCAAGTTTATGCCATAACTTAGCCTATGAGTTATCCTGATAGCAGTCTTTGTAACATCAGTTATTGGTGCAACATGCATAGCACGTTTGCTTTGAACATGTCTACCACTATCAAATTAGGAATAACATTTATAGAATCTCAGCTCTTTTTCTTCCTTCTTCATGTGAAAACCGCAGTGAAATAGGGATTTATGCTGTAGAATTTTGAAGAATTGTTGTTATTACATATGACAGTGGAAAAGCTTTATCAGAGAGAAGGCTTTGCAATATATTCTAAAGGTTAACAGCCTTTTTTATTCTCATCTGCGAGGGAGATTGTTCTTCCACCAGACTCACTTGTCTAAGAAGACTGACTGTTAAGAACAAAATTTGTATATTTACTGCTGATACGGGACTCTTAGGAGTTTGCATATTTATTGCCTAAACTCAAAGGAGTTTTAGGCATAGACAAGTCTAGTCTTAGCTGCTAAGAGCTGGTCCAGAGATACTGCATTTCACATTGGTATAAGCAAGTACATGCAACAGTGAGAGGAATGCTTGTTGCATGATGCACTATTTGATTTATTTAGTAGTAATGTATCGTGCACTCTTTGATCATCTTATAGTAAACATTAGAACTCACACACACAAAAAAATATATATATAAATATATAAGTAACTGGAAGTGAACTTCCCAGCAACTATGCAGTTCCAGTACTTCTCCAGGCAGCAGGAGTTCCAGATACAGTCTCAGAGTGCCTCATTGTCCCAACTCACTGCACTTGTGACAAATACAACAGAATGCTGATTTATCCTGAGATCATAAAGTGACCCAGGGAGCTGTACCACCACAGGTCTCAACAGCCATGATTCCATTCTTCTATTAATTGCTTCTTTTTCTGTAACTGCCAGCATGTGAATATTTTAATCTTACTGCAGTGTTCTTCCAGTAAACCAGCTTTCTAGCTGTAAATCATGCAACAGGTTCTATCAACATAGGACAGCTTTAATAAAAATTCCTAGGTTTTCAGCCATCTAATCAACGTGTTGCTGAATTCAAACTTTTTGAAGCATATTTATTGAATTAGTTGTGCTTGTCAGTTTCATAACCCTGAAGGAAGTTTCTTTGAACTGCTTCTTCAGTCTCCCGGTGTGGTGTTCTTGCATACACAGCTAGGAGAATAATTTCCTGCTCTTTTGTTAGGAAGAAAAGACTTCTGGTTGCTGCTGTCTTCATTTGATAATTTTATGTATATGTGGGAAGAAACAATGTCCATTTGTTGGTGCCCATTGTGTATTTGTAGCGATCAGAGAAAATTCAACTCAAGTGTAGGCCATTCCATACCTCTGATCATACTTTTGCCCGTTTCTGTTTCTTTCCTGGTTTCAGACTACTACCTTTCAGATTAGAGTGAATAGTACTGCATTTAAAATGTGTGCAGATTACATATATGTGTAGTGCCATAAGTATTCTTTCTGTTCCTCTTCTAAAAATGCCTAACAGTGATTGGCTTTTTGACTGTAGTTGGGCAGTCTTCATGTAATGTTTTCATGATACTGTCTGTCATAAAATAAGGAGCTTTCTGGTAATTATAATTTTTCTCCATTTCCTTTATGAAGCCAGGATTATTTTTGCTGTTTTCCACTTTGCATTTATCCATACAGAATTTCATCTGCCATTTTATTGTCCCAAACCTCAGCTTCATCCTTCTGCAATTCTTTACAGCCTGCTCTTTTCCTTACTATCTTGAATAACCTCATAGTGTCAGCAAACTTTGCTACTTCAGTGCTCCTCAGTTGGACACAAGTTAAATAGAACAGGTCCCAGGGAAACCCCGCGGATTATCTCTCTCCATTGTGAGAACTGACCATTTACTACTATTCTGTTTCCTGTCTTTTGTTTCATTCTTTAGCCCTGCCAGGACTCTTATCCCATGGCTGTCTACTTTGCTTAAATGTTGTTGGTGAGGGTTTTCTCCATTAGTGTTTTGGAATCAGAAGCAGCCTGTCCTACCCAGTATCACCCTTATCTCAATACATGTTGACCCCTTTTAAGAACTCCTGAAGTTTTGTAAAGTAGGACTTCTTTTTAAAGAAGACATCTTCCATCATAAAGGGGTTCTGTGATGAAAGTGTCTTCAGTTTCTTCTGCAGTTAGTGCAAAGAATTAATTTCATCTCTCTGAAATGATGCTATCCTCTGTGAGTTCTCGTTCTATATCCTAATCATTAGCTGGCAGGAAGATTTAGAGCAAAAGAAGACTACTGTTAGTATTGTTAGTCTGTCTGACTTAATTTTTAAAGTCTGTGGTCCTTTCTCCATTTGGCTGCAATTTCAGCTTTGGAGGGATGATATCATGCTTCTAACAGTTTTCTTTACTGCTTGACAGTACCGTCTGACTTTCACTGACTTCCAACCTTGGGGTTTCTTGGTGTTTTGGTTTTTTTGTTTGTTTGTTTTGTGTATCTCAGCCATTTGTGTAGGTTTAATAAAATTGGAGTTTACTGTAGTTTTGTCTATCAACTTTATGTGAACAGGTAAGAATATGTGAA